AACTCATTATATGCATTCGATTTGGTATTGGCTGATTATCCGTGCATCTACGTGTAATACATTTAGGCGGATTCCTACCTGTTAGGTGTTGGCTGCTGTCTCAATTTTCAACCTTATGAGAGCTTCATCGTGGGACCGGACAACGGTGAGCGATAATAAAATTTTGTGGGCCCGACTTTCATGAATCGAAGCCTTTTTCTTTCGGCAGTGTAGCGTTTGAGTTTTGTTCGTTCTTTTGTCAATGCTGACGCGGTCCTTGTGGACTGTATAATTGATTATATTTTGATAGTGAACCGACAATCTCTGATTTGTAGCCCAACCTCATCAAGTAAATGAAACAATTTCTTTCTCTTGTTGAGGAGCTGCAGCTTGCAGCAGTGCCACCCACCATACTTCCCTGACCTCCCGCCAATCGACTACCATCTTTTCAAGGACTTTGATTACTTTCTCAACGGTAGAACTTTCGCCAATCAGGACCAGGCAAAAGCGGCCTTCGTCGAAACCCGAGCACCCAATTTTCATGCTGACAGACAATTTGGACCACATTTTTCGAACAACCCAATACAATAGCAGTAAGTTGTAATAGAACTACTTGTAAAACCCCAAAACATGTTTTTTATAACACTATTTCAAAAAATTTTCCAATATAACAAAGTCTCTTCTTCTGATGACAACTACAGCAGGAATTTGAAAAGTGTTAATTGTAAATGAAATTTAACAAGAACTAAAACAAAATAGATGAAAAAAATCAGCAGAAACATACCAAAGCTACCATATTTTGAATAAAATGTTGACTCTATCATTTCTGGCCAATATGATCAATTGGATTGAATCATTCATATTCATTACAATTGAAATCATGGTGGTAGTATGCAACAATTCTATTTCATATCGTCTGGTTTGGAAACTGAGTGGAAATATAAAAAGGGTGTTGGAAGTAATTCAGTTGAAAAATGTTTAGGTTCGGAGTAGATTTATCTCAAATGAAACATCCTATATTTTACCGCAGATTTATATTTCAGATTAAACTTTGGAACTACTTTCTGAAAGATACATTTTAATGAACTCACGTAGTGGTTTTATTGCCTCTCCAAGACGATACAGACAAAAAATCGGTTTCCGAATAACTCATTCTAAATCTTTATTGAACGAATTACAAAATATGAAATCAAACCATCTTATGATTCAAATATCTATTTAAGGTCATCAAAACTATGGTAATTCATATAAAACTGTCTATTCTGGATGGATCAGGTGATAGAATTATGTGCAGCCAACGCTGCATATAGACTTATGCACATCGCCAATTGCACAAATCAATCTATTGTAGAGTACACTGCTGGTTGACACTGGAAATCCCAGCATTCTGGGAATGATCTCTGTCATTATGCCTTCAACTAAGAACTGAGTCATACAGTACTTTTCTCAAGTAGAGGGAACTGGATCCTCTGGGAGAAGGAAATATTGAGGAGCAGTTAGTTATTGGTTCACAGATGGATCTGTAATAACTGTGATTGCGATGGTTACCGTGAAATATTATTTCATTCATTCAAACTCGTTTCTTCAGTGTCGATATTTTTCCAATTGAAAAAGCGCTGAATTACTTTATGACTGTCGGACCTTTGAGCGTCGTTGCGATCATGTACAAGTTGAGCTAGACTAAACAAATGAATATATTACATCCCACCGCTGTCAGAAAGGTTACTTCTGATTTTTTTTAATCGATTGCAGATTTCAGATGCAGATTTCTCCACATCAAAATTTGGAAGTTAGGCAATTCCGAAAAAGCTGTAGCTCACCATATAAACTAATCGGCTTCGTTAGGAAGCTGGATTTATTTGGACGAGTTTGAATAGGTGTGAGCCATAATGAACCCTTGCTTGTTGCGGTCGGGGGTCGATTAGATCCTCTTACTTTTGACGTGACCTAATCTATCGCAAAACCTGTGTAGGAAGATTAATTGAATCCATCTATTCTTTATGGGCAATATAATACAAGTTTCAACATTATTATACTGTATTTCCTCAATTATACTTTTTGCAAAATCTGTCGCCGTCGTTCAAGGAGAGTCAATATTGCTCATAATATGTTGTAACTCTCGGATGATATACTCAATGATTTGCTTGAGTAAATGCATAATATCACAGCATAAAATTTCGCGAAATTGCTTGAAACTCGTTACGTTAATTGATATGCCTAAGCGTTTCCCTGTCGAGAAGGGAAAACAAAAGTCGCTCAGGCGATAACATGAACATGCATTCCAGAATGAAAGGTTCACAAAGAGAACTGCTGATTGATTGTCTTCAAACATTTCAACCAAATCTTAAGGGAGAGGCGCATTGTACCGTATTTGGAATCATAGGATTTCATTTCATTCAAAGTAATTTCTGATTATGGAATAATCCTGGGTATCATTGGTTATATTTAGATTCATTCATCTCCACAAAAAAATCTGAGAGCTTTCTTATCAGAACTAAACACTGAATGTGTCTGAGTAAGTCGATGAGGAGTTGTTATTGCACTTCAAAGAAATAAACAAGAAAATTGAGAAATAAAACCATGTTTTTATACCACTTGTATTCGTAAGTAACTGATAATGCCAAACCTTATAGGTATATCTGTAGTTTGATCCTTGTTCTGTATTTTTTGTTTGATTCTAATTTCTAATTTATTTATTTAGGTGTATCCGTTCTAGTTCGTTATTTGGTATATGATTTTCCTTTCCTTATTCTGGGCTTCATTGATAAGCGGTGTGATGATGTTCAAACCACCCATCATCACACAAAATGACTGCCTATAACGCATTCATATACAGAATGTTGAGGATATCACCAAAAAACTAACGAACATCTTCAAACCCCTGAACATCAACATCACATGTAAGCCAAACCAAGAAAAAAACTGATCCAAAGGTACGACGACCACAAAAAGGCATACATAAACCCAATAACATATAAATCAAACCTTGCAACACATGCCATACAAAACAAACATAACTTTCCCACACCAGAGAACATAAAACTCATAAAACAAGTCAATAAAGGAAACCGTATGGATATCTGGGAAAACTCAAATATCCATAAATTTAAAAGTCATAATTTACTTATCGAGGAACAAAGATAAATCAAAACACAACACGACCTAATATTCAATATACTACATAATACAATACACATTCCTAACAACAGTGAATCTAGAGAAAATCTAACACAAAAGATATTACCGGATGTAACCCAAATACAGGCAAATTTACCTACAGTACTTGCCCTAAGGCGTACTAACCGCATAAAAGAACAAACAAGAGGATGAAACGTTCAGTTTGAGTAGATCCAAGAAGATGATAGCACAGCCAGCTATCGAAAGCGCTCGCATATAATAAATAAAAGTTATAAAGTTTCAAATCCTGTTTGTGACATATTTTAATATTGAAATTCTGCAAATGAAGAAAAATTAGTTGCATCATGATTGATTTGATTATTATTGAAGTTACAGAAAAAAATGGCTTCTGATATCTGTGGGGTATTTGATTAAATCAAAATATCAACATCCCATTAAGTTCTCATTTCCTTCAAAATTACTTTGAATATGTACTCACTTACAATGGAGTATCTGAAGATGATGAAACCTCCAAAATAAAAATCACACTCCAAAATGATATTAGGGTGTTGGAAAGTGATATCACGATAAATTTTTGTATCGCAAAGTTGACTTGAAAGGGGTGTATTTTTAGGGGAGATTAATTTTTGGGAAAGAGAGGTTTTTGGCTTCCTACCTCTCTATCTTCATACAAAAAAATGTGGGATCTTCCTAAGAAACGAAAATATCAATCAATTTCTATAAATTAACTCTATAGAAAGATGTGCTTTTCATGCAAAGAAGTAACTTCCAGACAGGAACTGAAAGAAAAAGCCCTCTCGAAATATTTACTTCCATATAAACTTTCAATTACATGAAAGAAAAATATTTTCGAAACAAATACTTTTATATGAACACTGAATTATAGAAAAAAACACTTTTCCTCATTCAACTTGTGTTAAATAGAGATGTCTGATCCAATCAGACATCATTCAAAGGATTACTACACAATATAGTAAATGAAAGATTAAATTTCAGTTACATGGAATACTGTCATCCTCACTGGTGGATATCTGATGTTTCGGAATGAAACACTTGTCTTTTTGCCTGTTAAGCACCAATCTGGATAACATTATAAGATAAAGCACTCGATTCATTGATAAAATTACGACTCTATATCACGAATGAGTTGAATCTATTCTGCTGTTTTGAGAGGGCTTTTTCTTCCAGTTTCTGTCTGAAAGTTACTTCTTTGCATGATTTACACATTTTTGAATAGAGTTAATTTTTAGAAATCGATTGCTTTATTTCCTTCTTTGAAAGTTTCTCACGCATCTTAACGCATTATACACCCAAAATCACAAAAAAATGTTTTGCATGGAATGTTTGGCCGAGTACGAAAGTGATTCTTGCCAGTTTGGGCGGTAATTAAATTGTCGCTGGTATTGAGAAAAACAATTTTACCAGTGCTGAGGCTACAAGACTCAAATCAGAAAAAAGTCATCCATATAACTGGAGATTAATACATCACAAGCAACCTCAATAGCTTTGAAAATCACCATGAATCTGTATTTAATCATATAGAATTTGACCAATATCATTACATACAGCTGGAGAGTATTTATTTGTCAACTGAATCATCGATAGCTTTTTAATATTCGGGGCTTTTCGAATATTGATACAAGAAGTGAAAGTAATTAGGTACTGATATAAAATTGATGTCAGGAAATATATCGCCACACACCTTTGAACAGCTGACATGTTCTTATTTTACAGTTGAATAATGGATTCTTATTTTTGGAGCAATAGTCGTTACTACGATAACAATATTAGGTAATTCAAGAACATTTGGGAATCGATTTGAAATTCTTCTGGAAAACCGAAGTAGTGAAAGCAGTTCTTTTCATTCCATTGAAATTACTCACTTGTTGAATCGGATCTTGATCAAAAACTCCAAATCAGTACCTCTAAGTCAATTTTCACTCAATCACCGAACTGTTTCTCAACTGTCGACACTGAAACACAAATTGAGTTACTTTATTTTGCCTTCATCCACAAGTTCTGATGATATGTAATCGCGCGTCTTGTGCAGGACATTATCGATGACATTGCTATCCTTGCAAACTACATCCGCGGACTGTGCGGCTTCAATTTCGGCGGGATCACCGAGTTTTCGTTCAGAGAGAATCAGCGCACGCGTTACAATTTGGTGGTGTTGAGTCAGGATAATATGCCTCTAGCTCCATTTTCTGGGGAGTGACTCCTGCTTTCATTCAATTATTCCTTTGAAATTTGACATTTGATCACATTGATAAAAAGTGAATATGTAATAAAACACAAAATATCGTATTATCACATGGGATATTCAAATTAAAACGGAATCGAGTGCAGTAAAGTAGGTGGAGCTTAGGGTTCCTCAGGGCTCTGTTCAAGGACCAATGCTAATCGCGACATAGGGCGTTCCAACGAAAACTTGACCCCTCTGTTAGTCAAAAATGGACGTGTAATCTAAATTTTCAAAGAACAATTCTCTGTCTCAGGTCTGCTAGATTTATATAATTTATTTGATAAGTAGTTAAAGTTTTGAAATGCACTGGTAGTTTTTGTTGAATCTAGTTACAATACAATACTTTATTTTTCCTGTGGCTTTTTTACAAGCATGGAAATCGTCATATACACATTAAAGATTGGAGTTGAAAAATATCAAGTGATGAAATAAGGAATATACATAAAAAAATTAAATCAATAGCAGATGTAGGAGATAATTATATAAAACAATTAAAAAACATAGTATTAACAGTAGGATAGTAAAAAAGAAAACAATCGTGATGTCAAGCAGCCAGATAAGTTTGAAAATATTCATCAAGTGAATAGGCATTTTTGTAGAGAATGTTTTTAACGCTATTTTTGAAATTCATGGGATTTGAAATTATCTTAAAGAATGTTGGAAGTTTATTAAATATTTTTATAGACATAACATGAGGTCCGTTTGATACAATGTTAATTTGTGTACAGGAACTATCAGATTATAATTTTGCCTGAGAGTATAACCAGCAGCTATGCGGATAGTATCCCTTTGCTGAAACTCATGGTAATGATTCTCAATGTAAGTGACACAATTTAAAATACACATTGATATCACAGTTAAAATTTATAACTCAGTAAATAACTGCTCACAAGAATTACCATATTTTTAAAACACATGGTTCTTAGCATCTTTTTTTGAGCAATCAACAGATCATTCAATTTGCTGTAGTTACCGTAGCAGACTACGCAATAACTTAGACTTGAGTAAACATAGGCATAGGCAAACATAGGCATAGGCATAGGCAAATAACGAAACAATGCTAGGATAATTTAATAGAAATATAGTCAATATGATCATTCCAGGATAATCGGGAGTCAATGTTCAACACTAAGAATTTGACTGATTTTTCTGCACACTAGATTTAGTATTAGCTCTTACCAATATACTACAGTCCATTTCTCTAAGCAAGAAAACAATGGTACTAGATTTATTGCTATTTAGTACGAGACCGTTTCTGGCGCAGTAATTAAGCATATTAGCAACTGCAATATCAGCCTGGTCAGATAACCCTTCACAAGAAGAAGAACTCAATAAGAAAGACGTGTCATCAGGAAACTGTACAGTACAATGTTGTTGATTAATATTGAAGATGTCGTTGACGAATAAGAGAAAGAGAGTAGGACCCAGGACACTACCTTGGGGAACACCGGTTAAGATGTTACGATTTTCAAAATGATATATTCCAGATTTGAGCTCAACTTTAACAGATTGTGATTTGCCAGTCAGATAAGTCTCAATCCATTTTAAATTTTGTCGCAGAACAAAAAGTAGATAGTTGGACATTGTCACTTCTTCACAAATTATCAAGTTGTTTTTCACCGTGTTCCAACATGGTTTATTCTACTGAAGAAAGAATAAAAATTATTGCAACCTATTATCGAAATAATGAATGTGCTGAAACTGCTGCAAGAATTCATAATACGAATCATCCAGAGCGTAACATGAGCCATCAATACGTTAAACAGTTAACGCAGGGGTTCCCAAACTTTTTCAGACACTGTATCCTTTTTAAGCAAAAAAAATTGAGTATCTCTTCTCAGTAGTAAAAAATGAAACCATATTAAAAGCTTCAAGGTTTTCTATTTAGTATAGATTTAACCTGTGTAACTCAATTAGAAATGTTTAAATAAAAACAAAGATATATTGCTTACGTAATTTATATTTATACATTTAATACATATTTATATAATTATATTTATACACATTTATATAGACAACATAAAAATATTAAAGAGCGCTTAATTCTCAAACAAAAATTAGTGAGAAGGGTGCGCTTGTTTCTGTTCGCACAGATGTTCAATATTGGGTTCTAGCTTGGTTCCATATAATCTTAAGTCATCTTCAACATTTTATTTATTTCTTTATTTATTTTTAAGATAACTTGAACTTGAGAACCCTTTCTCACATAAATACGTGGTGTAAAACCTGACAAGAAATGTAATAGCAGTGTGAGACAGTTCTTCGTACTCCCTACCAACACAGATCCAAAAAGTAACAATGTAGTACCAGAATATTTTTTTCAACGTGGGATCACACGATATTTCAATAAGCTGTTCATTTTCAATAGTCGTTATTGTTTAAACACGATTGAGTAACCACGAAATTAACAGGCAACAGTGACTACTGCAAAAACACTGTTTTGGCGGTGTTTACTAGGTAGAAAAGAATTTCCTTTTGACGTTCCATCTCCCCACCTTTTCGCCCTTAGTTCTCAATGCGCACCTGCCCTTTCCTTCACTTTTCACACTATTGAGACTTGAATTCTGCGTTCCCGTATCCCGCTCAGGTTATAATCGAAAATTATTGTTCTTTTGGTTTTCGAATTCATTTTATTTTATTAATTTATTTCATTTTCATTTAGTCATCACTGAAGGAAAACAAAAATTTTGGGAAAAACGAAAGGGATGTAATGAAACATATACTGGAGGTTTATCAAAGTTTTACTTTGTTAAGGGACACCTCCACCTTGCGTATACCTTGGATTTTAGCGTTGTTTCCTCTATTAAAATTTTATGGTTTGTTGGCCAGCTGCGTACCCCCTAAAAATGTATGCGTACCCCCATGGGGCAACGCGTACCACAGTTTGGGAACCACTGAGTTAATGGATAAGTTTTGAACTTCAGGTTCTGTTAACAACGGAAAACATGAAGTATCTCGTCCTGTCAGAAATGACCGAGTTGAAGTTTTCAAAATAAGGCTAGTCCAGGAATTGAACAAAGATGATCCTGATCGTCGCCTTCAGTTTTGTGAGGTGTTCAGCGAGACATTGATCAATAACCCAAATTTACTAAACAATACATGCTTTTCAGACGAAAGTTCTTTCATGTTAAATGGTGAAGTGAATAGACATGATTGTCGTTACTTGAGCGATGTGAATCCTCATTAGGTAATAGAAACACAATCACAAACTCCACAAAAGTTGAATGTCTGAGCCGGCATTCTTGATAATCACATTGTTGGACCATTATTCTTTGAAGGCACATGCTTAAATCTATTACAAGACTGTGTGGATCCTATGATTACACACATTTTAGAAAATGATGACAATTTAGTACAAAATAAAATAACATTCCAACAGGATGGTGCATCCCCAATCCCCACATTTTGATGTTCGGGTGAGACAGTTTTTGAAGGAACGTTTTCCAATGCGTTGGATCGGCAGAAGGGGTCCAGTGGGATGGCCAGCTACATCACTTGATCTCACACCGATTGACTTCTTTCTGTGGAGACACCAGAAGTTGAAAGTGTAATCTACTAAGTCTACAAATCTAGAAGAACTGCGACAGAAAATTGTTCGGGAATGCCGATTGCTGACTACGGACATCTTGAATAATATACGAAACTCTTTCGAGAGTAGACTGTATTATTGTGTGGAACAAGGTGGAGGTCGTTTTGAACAATCAATCCGTTGATTTTGTTTCCACTGATTTTATTTGTTGTTGATATCCCCATTAAAATGAACGACAACGAATATTCTGTTTTTTCTTAAATAAAACGTTCAATATTTGATTTCTCAATAACGAAATAGAGGTACAAAAGACCTTTCAAATGATGTATCACTCGACCCCCCATGCCATTGAAAAAAACAGGGGGGATAGTTGCCGACCGCAGAGGACGAATTTTCGGGTATGATTTTCATATCAGAATATCCCCCCTAGGAAAAAATTGACGTGTTCTTCGAAATTTTCGATTACATGTTCGCTTCTGACTTATAAGGGAGGTCAAGTTTTTGTTGAAACGCCCTGTAGAGTGTGACACACTCATACTGAAGACACTCCTGTATTTTAGTCATTTTTGAAAGCAGAAATTTGATTTTTGGTATAGGCATAGACCTTCATGAGCCACACTTTTCGCAATACTTAGGCCAAGTGACAGCCTCAAAACCCAGCCTACTGCGTCATTGCGAAAGGGCAAATTCTGGATAATTTGCTTCGCGTTGACTATATCGACCCTACATACCGAAAATCAACGCAAATTCGAATTTTGATTTTTGTTCTTCAATGTTCATATTCAAGTCCGATTCCCAAATGATGGTTATAACTGAGAAGCTACAAAAATAATGAATGCATTAAATTCAAATTTTGATTAATAATTACTAAAATGCAACAGAGATATCGATCGCAATCAAATGACAATTAGTGAAGAGAATTCAACAGGAAATGAAATAAACTCTTATATTGGAAGTCAGTACCAAATTGTATTTCTGTCAACCGGCCCGCCCCCAGTTCTGATACAGTTTTCAATTTATTTTTCTATTATTATTAGCCACTCTTCTGGGATACTGGCTTGCCGTATTCTCTCACAACGTTCCTGTTCATCATTGAACACAATTTTCATCATTTAAAAATTTGCTTGGGCCCAGTATCAGCATTCTAATCGTTTATATTCATCAGCTTCTTCAATGTGTACAAGAAATTTGGTTTGAAGGTTCAATTAATTGACGAACGAGACATCTTCTGACAATCCCTCTACTCAAATTCAATTGCTCAGACCTTTCATGCAACCTGATTTGGCGATTGGCACGAATTGAA